AGGGCATTTATAAATAGAAATTACTATAAGTATTTATAAATAGTGTTGTTGTTTGCATCTAGAATGTTCAACCAAAGTCTCAGGTACTCAGAAGTGGGGCCTGGGGAAGGTTATTGAATTATGGCACTGCTACAGGTGATATGCTGTTAGGAAGTGGGGCCCCTGGTGGAGGGGTCACAGGTGCTCCTTCCTTTCCCTTCTGCTTCCTGGCCACCAGATGTGAGAATAGATGTGAGTGGCTTTCTTCTACCAGTCCCTTCCACCAGTCTCTTCCAACATTACTTCCTGCCTTGGAGCCAGCCCACTATGAACTAAAAATGTGAGCCAAAGAAACCTCTCCTTCCTTTAAGTTGTGGGTATCAGGCATTGTGTTTCAGGAATGAGAAAATGACTAAGACAGATTTTGGTAGCAGAGAAGTGGGGTAATTGCTATGAATATACATGACTGTGGCTTTTGGAACTGATTTTCAGGGAGACTTTGGAAAAGTTTCAAGATGATGGTTAGAGAAGCCCTAGAATGCTGTATACCAATCTTGATGGGAGATTCTGGTTGGAGCTCAGAAGACTAGAATTCTGATAAAAATGCAGACAATAAAAATTAGGATCTGTGGGTTGCAGTTGTGAAGAAAGACTCCACTGGTAGTTGTGCTAGAGACCACATGCATAGTGCTCTGGAAGAAAATTTGTCTACATTTTGCTCATGTCTTGAGACTTCATGAGAAAATGAGATTAAGGGTAGCAAATCAATCTGCCAGAGGAAATTTCAAGGCAGCCCAACATTTATTCTGTGGCATGGGTACTTTAACCATGAGCTAAAACCATGAGTCAAAATAAGTCTCTCCTTTAGTTGAGGCTATCAGATATTGCATCTCATCAATGAGAAAGTGACTAAGGCAAATAGTAAGTCATTCTTCCAAATCTTTGAAGATTGTTTTCCAAACTGTTAAAATTTGTTATAGATCTACCAGGAAAGTTTCCAAAGGCACTTAAAGTTATGGTACCTTATGAGGAAGTGGTTGATATGGAGAGAAAATGCAAGCTGCCTATGTTTTTTTCAGGGCATACTGGTTCCAGTTAAAGAGGTCAGTTAAAAGAAGAGAAAGATGAGGAAGTTTTGTGAAAATAAGAACTGTGGGATATACTAGCAGTGAAGAAAGACACTACAATCTCTTTGGCATTTTGCCTCTTCTATTTTATATTTTTTCTTCTGCATTATAAACAAAACAGAGACAAGTTATACTTGGAAGTAAATTAAATACATTTCTCCAATTAAATTCAATAATCTCTGAAAAGTGGAACACTGAAGTGTTCCTGTGGCTATAAGAAGATGATAGTAGCAGTTACCAGAGGAACTACTTGGAAAGGCTATTGATTTTAAATTCAGAGAAAATTAATAAAGACAAAGTTAAAGATTAATGAACAAGGTACATAATGTGTTAAGAGAATTTTTTCCTGAAAGTCAACTTTAAAAGAATGAATTGCTAATTTTTTTATGTTTAGTTCCTTTAATAAGGTTACATGTTTGCTGATTATAGAAAACTCACAATCATATGATTCTAAGAATCTTAAATAAAAGGACATGCATGGTTCTCACTTAATTGCTGATAGCTCTCAGCCATCATTTGGTGACAACCTACCTGAACCTCAGGACTGCAAAAAAGGAAAACCATCTTTACAAGCTTCAACAATAAAATTAGTTATCTTACAGAGAAAGCATTTTATACTAATATATAAATACAAATATATACATATAATCTGTAATGTGTGTATAATTTCCTGACAAAATGCTCTTCTTTCATTTACCTGTGTATCTGGATATATGTCTTCCCCTCATCTCTTTGGTATTTACATTTGTTCTGCTTTTCCATTTTATTTATTATCCTTCAGGTGCCAAACTTTAATAATATTGCTAGCATTCATCATTTTTTCCTTCACTAATACATTTCTTTGAGTTTGTATTCCTGGAAACAAATAACTAAGAACCTTTGCTGACACACAAGAGTTCCATAAATGAAGATGAGAACAATGATTCTAAAGAAAGCCTTTATCATTAATGCTTACATTATACTCTTCTGACCTTCCAGCCCTCCCCTCACCCTCATCCTCTATACTACTCCTACTGAGCAGATGGTTGTGATAATAGCCATCAGTGTACCATGTCTTCCTGGGTCTCTGGCCTATTGTCTTCCCATTGAAAGGTGGAGTCTGTTTCTCTATTCCTTGAATCTGAAATATCAGTATGATCCTTTTAGGCCAATAGAATCTAGCAAAAGTAACATCATACAAGTTCCCAAACCTAGGCCTTCTTGAGGCCACCATGCTAGGAAAAAGTCCATTCAAGTCTATTGGAGAATGAGAACCCACGTGAAAGTGAAAAGACCTTCCCCTCCACCTCCAAGCCTCAGCCAGGACCACCTCATGACAATGAGTAATGCTGTCCTAGACCCTCAACCCCAAACTGTAATAGACAACAGTTACATCATGAGCCCAAAGTAATAGAACCACTCAAGAGTTTTAACCCTGAGAATCAGGAGACATAATAAAGCATTGTTATTTTTAAGCCACCAAATGTTAGGGTGGCTTGTTATACAACAATTGATAACTGATATATCTTCCAACAAAAATTCTACAAAAGGATGAGAAATAACCACTTAAATTTATTCCTTTGCTCTTCTCACACCTGCTGCTTATTCTCTTCTATCTTCATTCCAGAGACATGCCATTAAACATTCATTCTCGGGTGGAGCCTTCACTCCAGTTTGTCTCTTGAATTATCAAAAAAATTCTCTTATGTTCATTCTTCTGCCTGTGAACAAATATTTCAGACAGCAGGGGAAGAAAATGGCTTAACTTGAGCTCCTAGAAGGTAGAGAGAATATATTCAAACATCATTCTGTACTTGCCCAAGATAAAACCCTAGATGGTAGAAATTGAACAAACATACTCGATACAATAACAATAACATGGAAAGCTGCCATTAAAGACAGTGGGACTCTATTATTCCAGACATGCAAGGCATTACAGTACCCTTCAAATTATGGGGCAAAATCACTAAAAGGGACAACTAGAGGCAGAAAAAAGATTGGGTTGTAATATTTTCAGTTTATAGTAAGGAGTACATCAAATAGATTATGCTACGTGTTCAATATATTCCCTTCACAAATGTGAAGTACATTAGTAATTTTCCACTGGGGGAAAACAAATCATAACAGTATCTTATTGTAGGAGGAAAGTACACTTACAGGGAAAGTGCCGGATGTTTCTTTCATTGAAGAATGATGCACAGGACTCAGATAATTCCTTCAGTTTGAAATTTGTGCTGCAGAAACACTCATTAGAGCTGAGAGTTTCCTGAGTTTTTTTAATAAGACCTGAGAAGAAAATGAACTAAGCAAAGTTCTGGGACAATTCTTCTGAACAATTCCAGGGTTCATAGTATGAGTCAAACATGCATAGCTCTTAAGTAAACAAACTAGACTTTGCAGCGTACCTGGTAAATAATTAAAAAGTAGCAGGCAAATAATTTTTGATAAAATTGTGGCCTTGGTTCCTTATCAGTTGCTAAACTTTGAATGTTAAACCAAAGAAGTCACACAAAGAGAGAAGCAGTACTTAAATTTAGACCGTCATGGAAATTGGTTTGAAACCAACTCCTACTTGGAAATTACCTGAGCTAGGAAGTTATTTTTGCATTTTATTTCCTAGCATGGCCATATATGATTAATGAGATTTGTGTTGTTATTTTGTTGTTACTGATGTTACTAGTTTGCTTTTTTGTTTTGGTTTGGAGTTTTGTGTGTTTTTTAATTTTCTTAAAGTTTACAATTGTTTATGGGCTGCTGCCAGATGTTAAACATGAGTTGCTCCATCAAAGCCTGTATGCTGAGAGATAAAACATAAACCAATAGAGCTGCAAAATAATAAAATAAATGAAATTCACAAAATCCATTTTATTCATTTGCCAGGCAAAGAAGTATATACTAGTGAAGTTAGCTAAAGGAGGTATATTAGTCTCTTTTTCATTCCATTCCATATTGGTCTCTTTTTCCATAAAATACCTGAAGCTAGGTGACTTATAAAGAAAAGAGGTTTATTTTACTCACATTTTTGGATGCTGAAAGTTCAAACAACATGGTGCTGGCTCTTGCAAGGGCCCTCCTAGCTGCATCACACCATGGCAGGCAGTATCATGATGTAAGTGCATGCAAGAAGGGCAGATACAGGGCAAAACAGGAAGCCAAAGAGCCCAGGAAGGCATCAGTCTTGCTCTATTGTAACAACCCTCTCCTTAAAACTAACTGGGTCCCATGAGAACTTCTTAAATCCTCCCAAGGAACCACATCCCAGTGACCTCTCACAAAGCCCCATTTCATAAAGATCCCATGTGCAGACCAGGTTTCCAACACATGAATCCTTGAGAAATAAACCATAGTCAAACCATAGTTAGAGGAATGCCAAGGACTTTTAATCTAGAAATAGGGGTACACAGTAATTAAGGTCTGCACTTTACATGTCAGAAAGGACCCAGTGAACTAACAGGTCTGTATCTCATTGTGCTTATTGGTCAGGAAAGTCTTTAGTTGAATCTACTAAGGGTTTGGTGTAAGGCAAGCATGTGCATTAGGTGATTTATCTCCTTTTATAGTCTTCAAGCTCAGTATTTTGGAATTTTACAGTTATCTTCAGTATATGTAAAATGTGTACACAGTTGACCCTCAGTATCTATGTAAGATTGGTTCCATATAACAAAATATGAGGCGGCCCAAGTCTCTCATGTGAAATGGCATAGTGGTTGCATATAATCTACAGACTTTTTCCTTTACACACTTTTTAAAATCATCTCTAGATTACTTATAATACAATATAAATGTGATATAATAGTTATTATGCTGTGTTTTCTAGGGAATAATGATAATGAAAACAAAGTTTGTACACGTTCAGAATACATACAATTTTTTTCAAATATTTCACACCCACAGTTCATTGAATGCATGCATGTGGAATCGGCAGATACAAAGAGCTAACTATATGAACTAATGAACCTCCTGTGCACAGCTCATGTCCGCTGCCTTTCCCTTGTTCTGCCCTAGAATTTGCCCTTCTTCCCAAGCCCCATCTTTATAAAGAATGTTTACAGAGCTAAAAAAATCACACTGCAGAATACTGTCAGAAAAGTAGAACAAGACCTTGGCTTTGAGCTTCTCTTTGAATTGCAAATGGTAAAATACTTGCGTATGATTACATCAGACAATCTTTGACCTCCAGAGTTCTTGGGATATTTTAGGAACATCAATGTGCAAAGGTCAAGGAAACCTTTCAAAAACAGCAGTAGATCAAGAAAAGAGGAGAAGGTGAGAGGAGACAGAATAGAAGCTGGAGGAAAGGGAAGAAAAAGGCAGACCTTAATGGATGTCATGGTGGTAAAGACCAAGAGGGAACTGAAGAAGACAATGATTTAGGAGAAAAACAATAGAACTGAAGAAATCTGACTGAGCTGGCTGCACAAGCGACCACAAGGTCAGACAGGAACAGCAGTAGTTGAAGGAGGCTGCAAAGCTAAGCAAATCTATTTTTTTCAGAATCTGAGCAGAAAAACAAAACTGGCTGAAACAGAAAATAACATGATGCCTTCCCCCTGCTGATGCCTCTCTGAGATCCTGCCAAAGATCTATTCTGCAGAATCGAAACTAAATAAATAGACTAATTTATTCAGATGTATTCCCCTTAGCTCTCTCCCAGCATTGTGTCAAACCTGCCCAGGATACTAGAAATTTCTGTACATTTGGATGACAAGGCATTAGCAAGCACATTCTTCTCCCTCTCACAATACCTGCTCCTGAAAAGGAAGCTTTTGCTCCTTGCATACAAATCATTTTTACAAACAAGACATCTAATGAGCCTTCTCATAAAAGTCCCCTGGAGCAGGTAAGACATAGGAGACACAAACTCAGAAATAAACAAGAGACTCATTATTTGCATGCCCAGAGCTAAGCACTGGTGGTAGCACAACTACTATTACTCTTTTCCAAAATCCTCTGTGAATATTTGCCCAACTATAGCACCCAGGGCCCTTCCTATGTGTTCAGAATCAATTTTAGAACTGCAAAATCTTAAGAGATTGTATAGTTAAATGTCTTCTCTCAGAAGAGGACACTGTAGTCTGGAGAGAGAATTAATTGCTCAGGGTTACACCGTCAATAAGGAAATTACCAGGACAATGTTCTTCTCACTGTGCCAAGACACATTCCCCTCATTTTCCATCCATACTCCTCCACTTTCTCTGTGTCCCTTGTCACTCAAGAATGCATTTGGCTGACATAACAGAAAATCTGACAAACAATGGTTTAAACCATAATGATAGACATGCTTTACTTGGCAAGAGGCTGAAAGTAGGCGGCCCCAGGATTTGCTCTGATGTTCAACAATGCAATCAAGAACACAGGCTTGTCTAATCCTTTGGTTTGGGCACCCCTAGTGGGCAGCTATGTCATTCTTAAACCCATGACCTTGTGGTGACAGATGGCTTCCACAGTTCTAGGAATCACATAGTCAGACCAATGCCTAAGCTTTAGTTCTGCAAATGTCCCCACAATGGGACATGCCAGAGCCCTCAGGAAACTCTAGTGCCTGGCTTCATATGGCTGTGAGAGGCTTTTCAGAACACAGCCTTGAGACACAGCCCAAGCTTTGCATGGAAGTTACACTTTCCTTCCTCAGTGGCAGGTCAAATGAGAAATATGCTCCTAAGGAAGTTGTCTTTGGCTTATTTTGTGAGCTTTACTCTCCTAGAAACAAATTGACTCTGAATGCAACCTGCATACCTTCCACTTTCTCGCAATTTTAAAGAGTGTATTCCTAACAAATATATTCATTGTGTGTTTGTCTGTGTTTTCAACAGAAGTGGTAAATATTTACTGTCAGACCTGAGAAAGGGCCTCATGCTTCATTTGATTTCAAGTGAAATCTCTTGGACTACAAGGGAGCTCTATAGAGTAGTGAACTGGTAATCCTGATGCCAGTTACTCATTTCCTCCTTTGGTTCAGTTTTGCTTGTCATAACCTCAGGCTCATAATGACTAAAGGGAACAAGACCTTTACAGCCTTGATCACAAACCCAGAACTCTGGCCTGCCTCCACCAGCAACTCAAGAGAGGCTCACACCTTGGTTTTAGCCTAATGAAACCCTCCTCAGACTTCTGAGCTCCAGAGCTGTGAGATAATAAATCTGTACCATTTTTAGCCATTCAGTGTTATTACAGTGGAAATTGATTTGTAATCAATTTATGGTAATTTACCATGGAGAACTATTATAGTAACACAGTGCATCATCTTGACATTTTTGATCTTCACAGTGTAATCACATCCTGTGCCATTCTAGCAAATACTCTTTAAAGGGCTTCTATAAAAAATATAGAAGACATGCTATTGGGAAGTCATTCCTCCCGAGATTAATTGGTAAAATTTAGTTTATCCTTTCTCCCACTCTCTTATTCTGTAAGATGACTCAGAGAATGAATTATAATTCAAGGAAGTCACATCAGGCTAATGTTCTTTCCCCTCAAACAAGGCTATTATTCAAAATACAATAATTGCATATACTGGTGTCCTGTAATATGGGAAACATTGTGACCCTTTTCTGAAAATAATTTTGAAAGCAAATCTTATTTTATCGTAACTTCTGTTTATATAGTAATTATAGCATAATCTAAATAGAAAAGGTTGGGACTCACCAAATGGCCATTTTGTTCTTCCTCTGGCCACCAATACTGGCTTTCTTGCTATATGTCAACTGAACTGCACAGGCTGCCCTCATTTTACCAAAAGGTCTCTGAGTGGGGTGTCATGGCTTTCTCTCTCTGGGAACCCTGGGGCCCTTAGGCTACTGGCCACACCAAGTGCTGAGAAAACAATGGTTTATGGCACATGGGTCAGTTATCTGACACTAACAGATTACTCCTGGGAGATCTGTTTCAGTGCCTTTATCTCTCTGTGCACACACTAAAAACACAGCAGCTTCTTTCAAGTGAAAGGACTTAATTTAATTTCTTGTGGCTCATGCTCTGGTTGGCCAGCTGTTTTTAATAATTGTGTAAGAATTATTTATGATTGGCGCTGTTCCCTCCTCTTGACTGTAATTGATAGTGCTTTGGGTAAAGTATGTCCTTCTTTCTTATCAATAACATTTATTAATATTCCAGATATTTTAATGCATTATTTCACTTTATCCAAACAACCACTTTGGAATATGATTAATATTCCCTATATTATAGATAAAGGAAATAAAGTTCAACAGAAGTTCAAAAAAGAAAAACAACTTGTACATAGAAATATTTGGCCAATAAGTGGAAGAGCCCAGAATTATATTAAAATCAGTTTCATTCCAAAATTGACTCTCATTGAATGGTACCTAATATGTTTCATGCATGATGCCTAAGGAC